AGGCTCTGTGCAGGCACAGGAGCAGGATGCCACAGGCTCCAGGTTTCAGGCTGTGGGTCCTTTGGTAACGGTTGGTTTCTCCCAGTACATCTCCCCAGTAGAGGTCCTGAGGATGTATTCTAGCTTCTTTGTACAGGAAATACATATGTACAAATATAACACAACAAAGTTAATTCATAATAGCAATTAAAATCCCTGGGAGCATGGATCAGCCAGGGAGGATTGAGCCACTGGAAATGCATTTTCAGGAGCAAATGCGTGGGAGCCATCTGTCGCCTCACCATACGTGGTGATAGTCACAGCATGTCTCTCTCCGCATCCTACTCTGAAAATTGACACCGTGACTGTAGGTTGCCTAACATATTTTGCAAGTGTTGCCTGCCAAAAGGTGCATTGCACCAAATGGGACACCAGGCTCAGCAGTGACAGTGCCCCAAGTGGCTCTGAGCAAAAGGCACTCTCGTCTGCTCTCCTTCCCCGCAGGAAGGCAAACGCGGCTGGTGGGTTGGCAAAGGTCTTGAGCGTTCACCACAGAAAGTTTCCTGCTTCCTCTGAAGCAGAGTCACAATAATCTGTTGGTTGGAAGCAAAAAACTAATTCCTATTGAGAAAGACGGTGAAAAGCTCTCAGAAGAAAGGTATTGGCCAGGGGAACAGCTTGCTCCAGGTGACACCTATGGCCACCCAACACCCCTTCACCTGCACAATGAGCTTTTCTTTCCATTCCTCCACATAAAAGTGGAGCGACACGCATGCATATAAGAAGGCCAAAAAGCCCTACAGGGCTTACAAAACATGACACAGTGCTGCACAGGCTCCTTTCCCTGGGGAGGGTGGAAGGAAACAAGCATGTGACAGTTACTCATCACATTGCTTAAGGCAAGACTGGGAGGCACAGAGATGCTGCAGCACTAGACATCGCAACGGCTACAGAATGAAGAATTCACTGACAACAGTTTCCCGGCCCATGTAACGCAGGAGTCGGAGCAGGTAAGGACGTGAGGTACGCCGCTGCTCTGTGATTCCAGGACAGCCTCCTCCCCTTGGCTCTGAGGTCTCATCTGGTACATGGTGTTAAGATGAAGGGGGACCCGAATTCTCATTCGACAGGCTGAATGTGCTAAGGACACACTTTCAGCCCCGCTTGCACTTGGCCCTGCCCTGGGGGTGCACCCCAAACACGGGACCTGTGCGGCCCGTGGCCATGCCCAGTGCCAGCAGTCAGCTCTCCGAAGTGCACGCTGACCCAGGCTGACACGTCCCAGCCCCTGTGTGCTGCCAGGCCCGGCAGAAAGCACAGCAGCACTCAAAACCACTGGGTACCTGTGTGGCACTGTGCCTTGCACCATGTCTCTGCTCTTTACTCATCCTGACTTGATGCACAGCACCAATATTGATATATGAAAAATGGCTGCGATTTCAGCAAAAACAAACTGCCCCCTCAGTCCATTAATAAATACGGTTTCACTGCCAAAACATTTTAATTTCCACTTCTTCAGACTTGCTTTGTCTTCACTGTTTCTATTTTTACTGCATTTTGTGACAGACAGCTTGTCTCTGACAAATGCAAGTTTGCCATTACAGTAAATCTTTCTGCAGTGTGGCCAGCAAAATACTACCAGTAGAGGAGCCTTTCCTTTTTCAGTGATTCTGCTAATTAAAATCACTGCCTGTAATTTTTAGAGGCACTGTCCGTAGGCGGGGAGGGACCGGGAGCAGTGCTGTGGGGCCGGGCCGGGGGTGCTCTGCCGCCCTCCCCGTTGTCACGCGGGCACCGGCGCTACGGGGTGGTAATACCCGCGCAGAGCTCGGTAAAACGCCGAATGTTCCCATTTCTGCCAAATTCCCCGGGGGAACGGGCCCGCCCCAGCAG